AAAAACATTTGAAAGTTAGTAGATGTAAATATTGGCGTTCACCATGCCGCAGTGGGTATTCGAGCAAAATGCACTTGAAAGAAAATACAAAAAAATACAAAAATATACAATAAATATACAATAAAACACAAAGCAAAACATATACAAAACATATACAATACAAAAGCACCGCAAACATAACAAACATATCCAGCCGATACTAATAAAACGTACAGTGTACAAGAACGTGAGCAATAAATAGTATGGCAAATATACCAAAAACATACCGATGATACAAAGTATGTATACAATACAAAGTATACACGACAACATAAAAAACACAATTCAACGATATACAAAATATATACAATAATTTTGAAAACATACAACCGCAATGTGCAGCAGAAAAAGGGTTTCTTTTAATTTTCCTTCAAGTAAATGAACTTCCATTGCACAAGAAGAATTGTTTGTTTGTCTGAATAATGACGCCACTTTTGTACACACATACATACAAACAAACAAACACACACATACATACATACATACATACAATCAAACAAACAAACAAACAAACAAACAAACAAACATACAAACATACATACATTCAACATTGTTCGTGAAGAATACACACATACATACGTATATACATACATATATACATACATACATGCAAACAAACATCATTCATTCAAGAAAATAATAATGTTGGTGACGATGATGATGACCACCATGATAGTGATAATAAAAATGATGATGATAATGATAGCAGACCCAGAAATAATAATTGCAAGACCAGTAATGAGCGAGCCTGCGGTAGAAAAAATGATGATGATGATAATTATGATGACGCTGATAAAGCTGCTGCTGCTGCTGATGATGATGATGATGACGACTATGATGATGCTTGTTTTTAACATTTTTCGTTAAGTAATAATTTTTTGTTTTGAACTTCTTTGCTTTGTTATTTATTCTTTGTTATTTATTCTTATTTATTATTTATTCTACGTTTTGTTTATTTTTTGTTTATTCTTTGTTTATCTTTGTTGTTTACTTTTTTAAATTGCCTCTTTATTGCGAAATAAACATTCATAATCATTTGTATAGCGCTCAACTTTTTTCAGTGGAATTCTAATAAGAATGCTTACTTGGTGGATGAACGAGGAAATAAATGTCAAATGTATGAACGAATGAAGGAACGAATGAATGAATGATTGATTGATTGAATGAATAAATGAACTAATGAATGAATAGTTGAACGAACGAATGAACGTACATCTGAAGAATTAAATGCCTGAAAAATGACTGAACAAATGAACGAGCGAAGTCAAGGATTGAATGAATGAAAGAAAGAACGACTAACAATTAAAGAACGAGTGAACGGACGAGCAAACGATTGAGTTAAAGAAAGAACGAACAAACGAATGAATGAATGAATAAATTTTTTCATTTCATTTTTTTTTCTTGAAATGTGACGTGTAGACGAGATTTTTATCAAAAGACTTCTGCGAAAATTTTCAAGTTACCGGCAACGATGGTGATGATGATGATGAGGAGGAGGAGGAAGAAGACGACGACGACGATGATGATGATGATGTGACGTCATCGTCCCAACAACAATAGCAACAACACAACCACAAAATTATCTTTGTAAACGTGAAAAAACTTCTCCTCACGTACAAAATCAATTAATAAAAGACCACTACTCCTAGATGCACTCATTCTATTTTATTCCTCTCTCTCTCTCTCTTCCTTCTCTCTCTTTTTCTCTGTCTCTTTTTCTCTTTCATTCAATCTTTCTCTCCCTCTCTTTTTACTTTCAGTAACTCTCTTTAATTCATTTATCTCAATTCTTCCTTTTACGTATTAGTTTTCATTTTTTTGTCTCTCTCTCTCTCTTTCTCTCTTTTCCCTCTTTATCTCTTCTTTTATTTTGTTTTTTCAAACAGTGTTCTAACTTGTTCATTAAATCACCTTTATGATTGTCTTTATAACTAAGTGCATACACGCAAACACACACACACACACGCGCGCGCACATTCACACACACACGCGCGCACACACACATGCACACATACAGACACACACACAAATACACACATACACACATACATACATAAATAAATACGAACACCTTGTATATTCTCCGCACGTTCACAAACGTGCAGAATGCCAAATTGCTGGTATTAGATAGATCGATAGCATTTATAGTTTTTGGTTACAAATGTTTTCGTTTCTATGGTAACAGATTTGAGATCTTTTTCTCTTATATACGAGTGCGTGTGTGCGTGTGTGTGTGTGTAATGTTGAGTTGTTTGTTTTCTATTTAGCCATTAGTAATGTTAGTGTTGTTGATGATGATGGTGATGACGTTGTTGTTGTTGATGATGATGTTGTTGTTGTTTTGTTGTTGATGATGATGATGTTGTTGTTTTGTTGTTGTTGTTGATGATGATGACGTTGTTGTTGTTGATGATGACGATGTTGTTGTTGATGATGACGATGACGATGATGATGCTGCTGTTTAAAATTGGTTCTCGATGAATAGGTAATGACATTTTATGTTTTAATAAAAATTTGCCTGACGGAATGTCCGTGTTTGTATGAATGAATGAATGAATGAATGAATGAAAGAATGAATGAATGAATGGAGGAATGAATGAATAAACGAAGGAATGAAGCCGCAGAAGACTTGTTTCATCTCCATTTAAAATCCATCTGACGGGAATTAAATTTTTATTTCATGATAATAATTGGACTAAATCGGAAATGATTTTTTTTTCATCTAAAAGTGAACTTAAATAATGAAGAGTTCCAAGAAGAGAAGCGGAAAAAGATCCCGGAAGAGATTAAATTCCGGCAAAGAATGTGAAAAAGAAATGCTACTTGATTATCAGTTCGTATGTCTTTGTTTGTCCGTGTGTGTGTGTGTGTGTGTGTGTGTCTGTGTGTTGGTTTGTATGTTTATGAATTTGTGTGTG